TTGTGATCAAAGGAAAGAAGTACACATGCATCTACAATCAGGTAACTTCCCACCTCGATAAGAGAGAGGAGGTTGATGTTGAAAGGACTGTAAAATGTGTTTGACTTCTAAAAAGCCTTTGATCAGGTATCCCATGAGGTTCTTGCAAAAAAATTGGAGGATTGTGGGCTTAACTGCGAGACAGTTAGGTGGGTGTGAAACTGACTACGGGGTAGGACCCAGAGAGTCATAGTGAATGGATCTGTGTCATCCTGGCAAGAAGTGGGCAGCGGTGTCCCACAGGGGTCGGTGCTTGGTCCAGTACTTTTCAACATCTTTATCAATGATTTGGAGGAGAGAGTGAAGAGCTCACTGGCCAAGTTTGCAGATGACACCAAGTTATGGGGAAGCGTGGTCACGCTTCAGTATGGGCTACAGATACAGGCAGACCTGGACAGGCTGGCAAATTGGGCGAGTTGGAACCAGATGAAGTTCAACATTGAGAAGTGTAAGGTGCTCCACCTGGGGACAAACAACCCCCTACACACCTACAGGTTTGGTGGTGCCAAACTGACCAGCACCACGAACAAAAGGGACCTGGAGGTAATAATAGACCGTAGCAGGGATGTGAGTCAGCAGTGCGATGCTGTAGCCAGTAGGGCAAATAATACTCTAGTATACATCAACTGATGCATCTCCAGCAAAACCAAAGAAGTGATTCTTATGCTCTACTCGGCATTGGTGAGACCCTAACTGGAGTACTGTGCCCAGTTCTGGGCACCACACTTTAACAAGGATGTGGCAAAGCTTGAGAGCGTCTAGAGAAGGGCCATCCATAAGTTTAGAGACTTGCATGGCAAGCCATACGGTGAAAGGCTGAGGGACCTGGGACTCTTCAGCCTGAAAAAGAGAAGGCTGAGGGGTCACTTGGTAGCAACTTACCACTACATCAGGGAAGTGTATCAAGGGCTCAGTCAACAACTGTTCACCAGGGCATCCCTGGGGAAAAAACAGGAGTAATGGCCACAAACTCCTGGAAGGCCATTTCAAGCTCAACATTAGGAAAAACTTCTTCACAGTTAGCGTTCCCAGACTATGGAATAGGGTCCCTCCAGAGGTGGTGTAATCACCTACCCTGGAAATCTTCAAGAGGAGACTGGACAGTCACGTTGCTGCAGTCACCTGACCCCAGCTGTCTTTCCTGCCCGGTGCAGGAGCTTGGACCCGATGATCTGTGGTCCCTTCCAGCCTTACAATCTACGAATCTGTGAGAGATCCAGTTTCCCTTGTTCAGCATTGTGTTCTGTAGGTCGTGTCAGTAGTGAAATACAAGGATCTTTTTTCCAGTGAGATTTTTTTTGACCATGAGATGGGAGATGAGCCTGGTGTGGGATTAATGATTAGTAAGTGAAAGTATAGCATTAGATGGCATCACATGCGTAAGAGAGAAGGGATTAGCAATTGAAAGGACTGTAAAATTTAGCAGAAGTAGTATTTTTTTCTGTTGGGTAAGCCAGGCATTTGGTTGCAGGGGGGATGTAGGTGGCACCTGTGCAATATGGCCCAAAAGAAGAAAATGAATCTGCATGTAATGGACAATATCAGAGACTGGAAATTCTCAGTCAACAAGGACGCTACAGCCAGCTGGTGTGGTTTGCTCAGCGTGAACCTGCTGGAATGTCTGGCATCTCTTGCTCTTGTTCCTGTGTTTGCACTCAATATTCCTTGATGTTGTGTATTGTAAGAGTCATTTCCCCAGCTACTATGGAAGTCAGTCAGTACCCTAAGACAGTTGGCCACAGCTGGAGCTCAGCAAAAGCATGATTGGCTGTGGTCTCAGTACTGTAGTCTTAAGGACGGAGAGAGAAACTGCCTTCCGGCTGCAAAATGTACCTGATCCCTGATAACTAGGGAGAGAAAAAATACCAGGCCTGGTCTGTGCTTCTACATGTTTTTATTTTCCAGATCTTTGTGAGGGCTCAACTTTAAATTGGCATGAATTGGCACAAAAAAACCTAGTAGCACAGCCAGCTAAAGTGATTCAGGCACACCAGTTTGTCTAGCCGGCAGCACACAACGGAGTTGATGTGCTTCCCAGCTGTGTGCAGAAGCAATCCGTTGAAGCTTGTCCATATGAAGGAGAGCAGTGAGGAGTTGTATCTTGGGAGCCCTGTCACAATTTATGGCAACTTTGGATCATTAACCCTTGTCTGCACCCCTGTGGGCACATAAAACTTCAAAGTAATCTGCGTAAGCATGTGGGAAAAGGGTTCTTTGAGAAGAACTTCTTCTTTGAGCAGTTTTAGTAATAGAACAATGACGACAGATTTTTCTGGTCAGCCACTAGAAGGTGACATAATTGCATTTGTGTGAGTGTATCTGACTTCCTATCCAATAAGAGTAGTGATACATGCACACATCTTAGCCAGTATATTATTATATACTACATTTTATTTATCTATTTAGATTTTTTTGCAGCAGTTTCCAAACTACTGACCAGATCCTGAATTCCTTCCTTAACTTGTATTCTGTTGTCTCAGAAGCAGTACTCCCATTTGTCTCTAGTGGGTTATGGAATAGAGAAAATCCCACACAATTTACTGATTCGTTTTGATGCACTGGCTGGGGGAGTAGTTAGCTGATTGCACGATTTCACAATGATTACACACTTAATTTATACAACACAATTTTATTTTAAAACTCTTTGCTACGTATATAACACTGCTTAGCTTTAAGAAACACCACAAACATTAAAAACACAATAATTACATATATCAGAAACAATGCTCCGAATGCACTTCCTTCCCAAACAATGCTATAAGAATTAGTGTTACAAAAACAACTACAATTACAACTAAAAGTTAAATTTGAATCAATACTATTATTTTTCATAATATACTTACAATCCTAGAATTCCGAGAAGCCAAATACCAAAATATGGTTTCATTCCTCAGTAGTACGATTTAATGGGTTGGCCTCAGTAGTACGGTTCAATAGGCTGGCCTCAGCAATACGATTCAATGAGCTGGGCTCACCAGTGATAGGACTACGTCCCCTTCCTTCAGTCCCTTTCGGGCGCTCCGCGGCTTCAGCGTGAACTAAGAGATTCGTGTTCACGGAGAGGTTGGATTAGGTGATCAATCTAATCCGAGCTTACACTTGCGGTTCTTCCTTCGTTGTTCTGCAAGTGAAGTCGCCTCCAAATTGGGACAGTAAGTTACAGGTTTTTATTGAGTGAGCTGCCGTCAGTGGGCTCCTCCTACTCAACTTATCATAACTCCCAAATTTGGGCTCGGATCTTACTCAACAGAAATTACCTTTGTTGAGCATTTTAAATTACTCTTGGGGAGACTTCCATATCACTGTAAATACCCTTTTCTTAGCAATTTGGTTAAAAGGCCTTAGGCTTTGATGTCTTGGAATTCAGGATATTTGCTTTCTTTGTAAAAGACTTCTAAAGATACAATTTAAATTAAAGCTTTAAGTGAAGTCAGGACATTTTGCACGTAGCTCCGAAACAATGAGCTAGATAAGGAGATAAATCCTATCTTCTTCCTGAAACTGGCTAATGGGCAACCTTTACAAACATTCAAACTATTTCATTCAATATGACACCATTAACAGGAACCTAGCACAAACTAATGTAGGCCTTCATGTTTCTGTTCTATATCTGGATAACTGCAGAAAAAATAATAGAAGGTTTTAAGATAGGCAAATAATTCTTGAGGTTAAAATATAAATTAAGTGTGTTTATTTCTGTGCCCCTTAAATCCTGTGTGTGCTTTAGTATGGTAATTTTTTTAGTACCACTGAACAGTTCTAATCATTTCAAGAAATGGTCCACCTGCTTTCATCTCGCGCTAAATTATACACTGCCTCATGAGAAGTACTCTTGAGAACAAATATAACAACAAGCCATATGTTCCAGTAACAATAACAAATGGAGAATGGACCATGAAGGAGCATCTGTTCCTGGGGGGAGTGGGGGGTTTCCACTTAGATAGTACTAGAGGTAAGAGGATAATCAGTGTATTAATTTCATAGAATCATAGAAAGTTAGGGTTGGAAGAGACCTCAGGAGGTCATCTTATCCAGCCCCCTGTTCAAAGCAGGAACATCCCCAACTAGATCATTCCAGCCAGGGCTTTGTCAAACCAGGCCTTAAAAAACTCCAGCGATGGAGATTCCATCACCTCTCTAGGTAACCTCTTCCAGTGTTTCACCACCCTTTTAGTGAGAATTTTTTTCCTAATATCAAACCTAAACCTCTGTTGCTGCAACTTGAGACAATTGCTCCTTGTTCTGTCATCTGTCACCATTTTTGTTGCCTTCCGCTAGACTCTCCAACTTGCCCACATCCTTTCTATAGTGGGGGCCCCAAAACTGGACACGGTACTCTAGATATGGCCTCACCAGTACAGAACAGAGCAGAATAATTACTTCCCTTCATCTGCTAGCAATGCTTCTATTAATGCAGCCCACAATGCTGTTAGCCTTCTTAGCAACAAGGGCATGCTGCTGACTCATGCATCTTACTGTCCACTGTTAACCCCCAGGTTCTTTTCTGCAGGGCTGCTACCCAGCCAGTCAGCCCCCAGCCTGTACTGGTGCGTGAGATTGTTCTGTCCTAAGTGCAGGACTTTGCACTTGTCCTTGTTGAACCTTATTAGATTTATTTTAGCCCAATCCTCCAATTTGTCTAGATAACTGAATCCTAGCCCCACCCTCCAGCGTATTTACCACTCCCCAGCTTGGTGTCATCAGTGAACTTGCTGAACTTGCATTCCATCTTCCAGACTGTTGATGAAGGTATTAAACAAAACCAGCCCCAGGACTGATCCCTGGAGCACTCCGCTGACTGCCAACTAGACATTGAGCTATTGATTACTACCTGTTGAGCCCAACAATCCAGCAGGCTTTCTGTCCACCTTACAGTCCATTCATCCAACCCATACTTCCTCAGCTTGCTTGCAAGAGTGCTGTGGGAGACAGTAACAAAAGCCTTGCTAAAGTCAAGGTATAATATGTCCACTGTTTTTCCCCACATCCACAAAGCCAGTTATCTCATCGTAGAAGGCAATCAGGCTGGCCAGGTGTGACTTGCCCTTGGTGAATCCATCCAATTTGCATAAGACTGAGCTTGATTCCTCCCTTAGCTCTCTGGGTTTAAAGCACAGGTTCACCTCGCACACCAGAGCCCACACTGAAGGCCAGTCAGAATAGGATTCACACACTTCTTTCCCTTTTATACAGTTCCTTTTTATATTTCTAAACCAGCCTCTCCCCTGCTAAATGGCCTTCATTTGAGCAGAGAGGGGTTTTCTTGTCCAAATGAGAAGCCACTTGTGCTTCCCAAATTAGCTAGTAGAAGAGGTCTGAAAATCTCCTTGATAGGTCCCCTGCTAGTGACCTTTGTGTGGATCATTGCAACTACAAGGGAGCATCAACTCAAAGGTGCCTGATGCTTACACTGTTTCCTACATTGCACTGCAAGTGACTTGCTAGTGAAGTGGTTGGCAGTGATTCTGGAAAAAAGTCATGTGCTGGTCTAAGATAGATGTTACAGAAGAAAACAAAAACCAATAAGAGATCGTTGTGGTTTTTTTACTCCTTCAGGAAAGAGGAAGAGGAACAGGCTGTTGGTGCCATTTATTGTAAAAAGATGGAAGACTTGCTCCAGCAATCAGATTTTGTCATGCTGGTTGTGAACCTGACGCCGCAGACACACAGACTGATTGGGAAAAGGGAGTTAGAGCTGATGAAACCCACTGCTACTCTCATTAACATCAGCAGAGGTGGGGTATTATATAAGCATGAGTTGGGGCTCCATAGTTAAGAATAGGTTGAATCTTGTCTTTTTCTACTGAGAAGTTCCCTCATGCAAGGACTTTCATATTTTATTTAGCACACAAGAAAGTTCTGCTCAGATAGATAATGCTCATTATACATGGAATACTGAGTGTCTACAATTCCCATTGATCTTTTAAAAGGAGTAACAGGTGCTTAGCAGGGTCTTAGCACCTCCCAGGATTTAGCTTGATAGGAGACTATTTTCTCTAGTTAAATTAAAGATGTGCAGGGCACAAGGAGAGCCCAGTGCCTGCCAGCTGGAACCAGTCTCATATATGCACCAATCTGACTGTCCTGGAGGCAGCAGGCCCCATTGGTACCACACAAAAATACATAAGTGGCAGTTCCAGAGACATTACAATCACAAGAGATAACACAGATCAGATGAAAGATGGAAAAGGTTTGGGCAAGTGACTTATCTAAGACCACATGGAGGTCAAGGGCATATCTAGCGTAGAAAGTCTGTCTGGTCCCAGTCCAGTGTCCTATATATTGGACCGTGCCAGCTCTAATTTTAAACAATCTAATTGTTGCTAGAACTGTGTCTGATTTTTATAATGAGCTGAAAATCTATTAGTATTGCTAACTACTTTGAGACCTTTTTCTTGATTAAAGATGTGGACGTTTCTTGTTCATTGGTGTATGTATCTGGGCTGCTCCTGGATAAGATGTTATCATGTTAATGCAGGTGCAGTAGTTGATCAAGATGCATTGGTAGAAGCTCTTCAGAACAAAGTAATCAGGGCTGCAGCTCTTGATGTGACTTACCCTGAACCTCTGCCAAGGTAGAAAACTTGTTTTGTCTCTTTAATCTAAAGTTATTTCAGTCCTAAAAAACATTAATTAAAACCTGAAAATACTGTATTTTCTCATACACGGCACGCATCTTTCCTTCAAAATCAGCATCCCAAAATTGGGGTACGTATTTTAAATGGGGAAGCTGTTTTCCTTGCTGAAAAAGAAGCACTCCAGGAGACGCTGCCCATGTTGTGCAGCTGTCAAGATGACTGCTGCTTGCATCTTTCACAGCTATGGCTATTGGTTGAGTACTGCAGTTTGTGCCCAAAGCAGCAAGCAAACTGTTGATAGTATCTTAATGAGACTTTTGATGTAGAAACACCACTTTATTTACAGGAACTTGCATAAAGAACTACTTAGCAGTGGTTTTCAACCCGTGGTCTGCAGACCCCTGACGGTCCACAGACTGTCTAAGGGTTCTATGAAAGATGACTATGATCAATCAAAAGTATGTGAATACTCACACTTACAATTCAAAAGGGGTTTGGACCTCCTTTCAAAATTTTTTAGGGGTCCACAAATGAAAAAGGTTGAAAACCAGTGACTTAAAGAAGTAACGGTCTTGCTACTGCTCTTTGTAAGGGTCTAGTGCCTAACCTTACACGACATAGATTGAGTCCTCCTGGGAACATAGAGTGGGCAGGAAGTGTGGCATTGCAAGAGACCGTTTGTCATACCAAGAGGTTTATGTTGCCATACTTCCTGCACACCCTGTTTCCAAGCAGACTTGATGTCACAGAATTGGACTTGATTCTGGAAAATCTTTTTTTTCTACGTTTTTTCTTCCAAAAACAAGTTGCATGTTTTATTTGGGAGGGAGAGTTATATGTAGGAAAATATGGTACTGTTAAGTTCCACAGCATCCATTCATAGCTGTAAACATATTTTAGATGTAATTTTCAGATTTCATCCACATCTTATGTAGTTTTTGGTCCTTTTTGGTTTTCTGAGCACAAAAGTACAGTCCAGGACCCCCAAATTCCATTTCTGCTTCTGGCACTGACTTTCTCAGTAGCTGTGAACTAGCTGTGTAGGCTGAGATACCTTTTTCAAGGCTGAATGAGTGCCCATTAGATCAAAAACTTACTTGAAATACCAGTATCAGTCACTAATCGCTGTCACTACCACTATCAGTCACAGATTCATTTAAGCTGTATAAAGGTAAATCCTCAGTCTCCTATATACACCAGCTCTGTAGCCAGAGCTGTAACCAGTCTCATATATACACCAATCTGACTGTCCTGGAGGCAGTAGGCCAATGCAGAAGAAATAGGTAAATTAATTCCTTTTCTGTTCTGAGTAGCCTGTGCATTATGGTCCCCTCTTCTTCACCATACAAAACTTGGCAGAAGTTACTACCAGTTAGACTAAACGCAACAGCGCAGTAGCATAAAGTTAAATTCTAATAATTCTATCTTGTTTTATTTCTTCCAGAAATCACTCATTGTTAAAGTTGAAGAATATTATTATAACGCCTCACATTGGAACTGCTACAGTCCAAGCCACCTGTATGATGACTGAAGAAGCAATAACAAATATGCTTGCTGTTCTCAATGGTCTCCCTATTCCTAGTGAAGTGTGCCCCAAATGACATGTCAGGAGCCACAAATAAATACACAGCGCTGTATTTTTATGAAAGGACATTTTTGGCCTTGCAGTCGGCCATTAAGTGACAGAAAAAGAATAAGTTTCTGCAGTGCTATCACAGTTGTTCTGCCACCCAGTGGCTATTTGCCATAATTGTATTCTTATGATTTGATTAATAATGATGAACTAATAAAGTACAGAGGCTCCAAGGCAACCTGTTGCAGACGGTCTTTTGATATCCCCGATCTGTACTTTCATCAAATGTGTGCTACTTTTTGCTCAAAATACTTGGTAATGAAGAAATGTGCTTGAAAACATGTTAGTGGGTTTTGAATTGTCTTCATAATAGCTTGAGATTAGAAACGTATTTGATTAAAGTGGAAATGTTCACTAAATATGTCAAAATCACATGATAATGAAAAGGAAAAATATTTACTGAGGATTTAATGCAACTCTCTTGGACATGTTAAGGATGAATCATTGAAAAATTCCCTACAGAAATGTGACTGTGCTCTACAACTATAACACCTCCTAGCCAGCACAGTGATAGCCTTATATCTTATATCACATGATATCAAGATGCAATAAGGCTGACTTCCCATTCATTAAATATTTTTGTCCTGATGTTCCAAATCATATTTTTACTACATTCTTTATCTTTGATTATCAATGTTAGTATATTAAAGCAGACCATTAAAAAATTATCTTCCCATTTTCCCAGGGGCTCTTTTTAAAAGCCAAAGTAAATGGAAAAGTGTTATAGTACTTATATCAGCTTCTACCCAGAAATACGTTATTGGGTAGCCAACAAAGCTGGATCTGCCCCCGGAATTATACAGATGATCTCTCAGCTTGAAGCAAGAATTAATAACGAAGCATAAACTCACTCCAACCCAAAGTCTGACTCCCTTCTCCAATCATTTTTCTGAGTAGGAATACAGAACACAGTGAAACCATGGAATATCTTATTGCTGCCTTGTGCTTCATAAAATTGGGAGTCTCCCATTTTTCTGTAGCATAGCCAAGCCTCCTGGAAGGATTCGAAAATAAAGACATCATAATATTCTAAGACAATCCAGCAGATAAATAGTCGGTGTTTCCATAAGTCACTGAAGATGCAAATGCTGTGGAGTATTTAATAATAGGCAGATGATGCTAATGGCGACTAAAGGTCTTCAGTTCTTGCACTTATTTTCCCTAAACCCCTTACAAAAATCTAGTAAAAGGTTTAATCTACTTATATAAAAAGTCTGACTTTTTTCTAGATACATTACCACCTCTCAGTTGTCATGGAATCACTGGGGCCTATGGGTGCTCAGCACTTCAAACCACTTTATTTCAGTGCCTAATTTTAGGCACTTCTGTTGGAAAATATTTACCTACACACCTAGTTATATAGTTTGTTTAGGATATTTCTGATCAAATATTCTACCTTTTATGAACTCTTCACATTTCTTAAGCAGAGGTAACTGCAGATAACCTTAGGAATTAAATAGTTAAAAATTAACTTGGTAGTTTTAGTGTTCAAAGTTCAAGATTAATCTTAGTTATTATTTACAGGGATCACATTTGGTCCAAAAAGTGTTTAAATATTTAGGTGCAACTGATCTGTAAAGGTTTTTGTAATTATTATTATGAACACACTATACATGGTCTGACACTCAGAGATCCAATGGAGTGAGTTTGAGTTTGTGCATAGTTACTGTAATGTGACAGCCTAAAACCCAGAAGGAACAGAATTGCTTGGAGTTGGGTTTGTGAACACTGTCTTTTTTGAAGGCTGTTGATAAGTGACTCAAAAGAGCCACTTAATTTAGTTTGTTTACCTCACATTTTGTATAAGAGTTTTCATTCTGCATTTCTCATAATGAGAGAAAACAGACTGATAATGGAAGTGCTGCCTAAGAGTTCTTAAAAATGTTCTGAAATATTCACATCATTGTGTGTTTTTCTTCCTTTTGCAGGTCATGGAAGAACATGAGCTGCCTGTGCTTTTGGTAAATGAGGTGGGAGGAATATGCGGTGTCCTGGAAGCGCATGTGGACTTCCTGAAGACACATTTTCAACTCATCACCATGAGAGAATTTCTTGAAAACAAAAATATTCTTAGTAAAAATGTCCAAGCCATTTATTTGTGGTGGCACAAACCAGTCATTGATCCTGAACTTCTCCAGAGCCTGCCCAACTTAAAGGTGATTGCAAATTCAGGAGTAGGAATGGATCACTTAGATCTGAAACTTATATCTGGCTGTGGAATAAAAATGGCTAATTGTCCACATGCTGTTTCAAGCAGCACAGCAGACACTGGAATGGCTTTGTTGCTGGCATCTGCTAGAAGACTAGTGGAAGGTAATGTTTAAATTACTATACAGGTTTCCAGAAAATCATATGAGCTATGCCTACCCACTCATATTTTTCCTAGAATTATTCCTATTGTAATAAAGTGGGACTATCCAAGCCTCAGAAAGGGGCTTGCATAATGAATATTAGTATTTAAAGTACTAAACCCTGTTTTTAATATTAGTGACTACCTTTATACACTATATTCCTTCTTATAACAGATTAACTGCTCAGGTCTTTGTTGAAAATCTTTGAGGAAAATCTGTTTAAAGGACTTTGGTATAACTTTCTAGTTATGAGTGGAGCTAGATGTTTAGGCTAAAACCTTGAACCTTCATCTGTGCAACTACTGCCATTATGAGAATAACTGGACAGCTAAACTGAGCAACACCTCTTTCCTCTATCATTACGTTTTGCAACCTTTTTCAGCAATATATTTTCAACGTGTCAGGTATTTGGCCATTAGGGATTTATTTCATGACGTGGTGATAATTTCTATAGTGCTGTTGACAAAAAAGTGACTAATAATTTTGAGTACCCTTATTCTTATACTTCAAAAGGTTTTAATACCTTGAGGTGCCTTGCACTTTCTGAAAATCAAGCCCCTTCATGATGTTTCAGATTACAAACCGAAAAATATTATTTAGTTTTCAAAATCTGGGCAATACATTCTAATGCAAACTTTCCTTCAGATCCATAAATATGTTTTATTTTAAAACCCTACCACTCCGTTTCACAAAAATAACCATTGTCATTGTGAAAGACTGCTGTTTTTTGTTTGGCAACTGTAAAATAACTCATAATAACAAATGGCCCTGTTCCCATTTGGTCCTGTGGCTAGGCATTTCTGCTCTAAAAGATTTAGAAGTAGTGCAGGAATTAGTTGCAGGGTAGTAGCTTTATTCTTTCCTGTTAGGAAGGTGCTCCTAATGCTCAGCTCCCCCACTGTGAGAAATTAAATGCCTACAACTTCTTGTCCTTTCATCGTCTTACAGTCAAAAGCAGGAGAATTTTCTTTTATTTTCATCATTCCTTGCTTCAGTATTTTGGCCCAGAGGACAACATTAGTAAGACAAGTTATAGAAACCAGGGCCAATTTTAATCTTGCCTGATGTATCAAAGTTTTAATTCTGTATGCTCTGTGCTTGCCTACACTAGGAAAATTTCTCTCTGGGAGCTATCAGGAATGGGGGCTGTGACGTAGACAGGACTCAGATATTTTTACCACATTATCTCATAATTTCAGAGTACTGTTGACAAGAGTGCAGTGATTCTCAGCCAGGGTGTGCCTTGAGATCCTTTCAAATGTGCCACATGGTGCCACACAATGTCAGCAGTTTTAGGTGCGCAAACAGAATTCACAAGATAAAGCCAAAGGTTTCAAATAGGAATCCATTGTGTTAAAAGCATTAAGACTTGTTGTATTTCTGAGTTCTTGCCAACAGAAGACTTGCTATATTATGTTTCTGTAGTCAAAAAGTGAATGGAAATGAAGAGTTTGCATTTTCTGTGGGGGTGCCTCAAGCCTAAGTTGAGAATCAATGGCTTAGTGATTAGAACCATTCGGATAGCCAGTGCAGTTAAAAGAGCTTTCTGAACTGTTTTTAAGAATGGCTTTAATTTTTTTTTGAGGCGCGGACCAGGAATAAGGGGACTTTTCTCCAGTGTAACCAAAGCTCTCATACAAAGGGCTTTTAATTGTTATAGGTAAAAATTACTTTTCTTTCAATATTTCTACCTCAGATGATCAAAAGATCAAATATTTACCAGTATTTTCTGTATTGTTAATGATTCTAGGATCTGCACTTGGCCACTAAAATTAGACACTGTGAATATGATCATTTTGTATTTTGTCCCACCACTGTTCACTAATGTCCTTCTTTTGAAGTCTGTAGGCTCACCTAATTTAAGTTATCAGAGACCTTCATCAATTGGGAAACACAATTACATTTTCACCCACTGGGACCACAACAGCCACAGGTTTTTATTATGTTCTTTGTTTTCCAATAGCTTAGTTATTTGCTTATTCCCAGTCCTTGTGCTAGGCCTGCTGCACTGTAGCCTTGTGACCTTCCTAAATAGGGACCCTGAAGCATAAGCCATCCATGGCAACTGAAAGCAGAAATGTGTAACAAATTATTTTCAATGCTGCCTTCCTTCAGTGTATAATGAATACTGTTTTGGGACTATGTTGTGTTCAAAGGATGCAGTAGTATGCAGGTCTTTGCTACAAAATGGCGTTTTTCATCCGGCACAGGTGAACTTGAAAGATGTGGACTTCCAAGCATCAGCTATCTCGTGTGATTGTCACAACTTAGGCAACCTCATCTTGTTTCTCTGTAGCCCTTCTGGGATGTAAACTGGGGAGCAAGATTTCTCTGAGTTTTTCCCCACACCACAAAGAAGGCAGGGAGCAGCCAAGATGCCTGACTTTCTCTTTGTATCCAAGCCTGAATGGAACAAGTGGCAGAAGGAGGTGGTGGCTTATGCTGCATGAGCATGGGAGACATTGGGAAGAGCCTGGAGAGACAGGGTGGGTGGCAGGGGATAGAGGATTGCACATGGCATGGGGAACAGAGTAGGAGCAAAGGTTGAAAGCTGAAACACCCACAGATTAGCACAGGTTACCAGGTGGAATTGGGAAGGCTGTTCCAAGGTCTGTTCAACTCTGAATATCTCTTCCAGCTTGCCCACCGGTTGCCAACCGCCGCATACCTACAGCAACTCCAGGTGGCCCCCAGGATCCTCCAGCTGTAGCTGAACCTAAAAAAAGCATTCTGTCTACTTGTTCCTACATAATGAAGCCAGTCTGTTTCTCACATGGACTTTTTCATCTTTTTAGGCTGTCATATTGCTGTTTCCTTAGACACTGAG